TATATATATATATATACGTGTGTGTGTGTGTGTATATATATATATATTTATATATCTAAACACATATATATATAAACATATAGATATGTATATATATAAACACACATATATAAAGGTATTTGCATATATAGATAGGTACTAATACGTTATGAATTTCATTAAGCATCGTTTCGTAGGCACGATATCAATATAACCATGGTACTGCAACTCAGATTTTTCTAAATAGCAGACGATACAGCCAAAAATCGAGTATGCGTCTGCGTTCATTGGGTTACGCCCGTCAAAAATATAAATGAAGTGGGCGAAGTATCTCACAAGACTGTGAAGCTATATACACAATATTCGTATAATATTTTAAAAGTTGCGATTTGTACTCGTACTTTTCTTGCAAGAATTTGAAGCTATAACTCGTTCCTCTAAGAGTTGTGCATGTGTATACCTGTACTGAAGTGAACTATTAAAAAGGAGCACGCCGCGAATAAAAACTACATGCACTGCAATTATGACCAATCCCCACACTTCGATACTTGCGCTCTTTGTATTACATCATACACGAGCGAATTCATGCATATGGCAATACAGGGCTGCTACAGATTCAATACACTGACGTCATGAATACATCACACACTTAGATCCATACGCCCAGGTCCATAGACACTCACCGAAGCATATAAATAGCAATGAAACCACCAGCCAGCCAGTATTCGGCAGACATCATCTGCTCCTTGGCATTTAAATCGTACAAGTTGTAGATGAGCGGTTTCTGAGCCTCTTCACCTTCATCATCCTCTTCCTCGAAATCATTATCGGCCTCGAATTGCTTGTTGCTTAGGAAGATCATGGCGAAAAACTGCGCATAGATGTGGTAGAGGTCAATTGACACGAATCGTAATCAGAAAGCATGTAGTGAAAAGCGTCGAGTTTGGTGTATATGGAGCCTATGTCTCCAGCAGGAGATGTATGCGAAAGGAAAATTGAACACAGAAGTAACAAATTGAATGCTGAATATTTAAATGCGTTATGTCTTCGTATATAGGATGCATGCTAATATCGTTGTCGCCCACTCACAGAATGCTTATATATCCTCCCTTTAACATTGAACTTTATTATAAATGGAGAAGCAGGCACGTACAGTCTAAGAACGATTCACGAAAACGATACAAGATGCGCAGCAGTGTGTTTTATGAGCGAGAAGGGCTACCACGTGTGAAGCACACACGCACCCCACTTACAAAAGTGAAAATCACAATTCTTAGTAAAATAATAGCGCCATTCAAGTCTCGATATGGAGATGTGCAAATTTGCTTTCGGACCTAGACAAATGGTCACTAAAATTATTGTAAAAGTATAGTTTAAGCCCACCGAAAATATCAAAAATACGTCAAAGCGAGCGTCTAATGGCGAACTGTATTATCAGCACCCGATCAACTGCACATCAAGACAAAAACAAGCTCTAAATTATAAAACTGGCCTATAGAATACAAGGGCACGCATGATCCACACCTACCAGTATATATATATATATATATATATATATATATATNTGTATCTGTATCTGTATCCATATATATCCATATATCTATATCCATATATATATATCAATATCTATATATATATATATATATATATATATATGTATGTGTGTGTGTGTGTATGTATGTGTGTGTGTGTGTATATGTATGTATGCATCTGTGCATGTATGCATCTGTGTATGTATGTAAGTATTTGTCTATCTATCGATCTATCTATCTATGTATGTACGTATGTATGTATGTAAGCATATATATATATATGTGTGTGTGTGTGTGTGTGTGTGTGTGTGTGTGTGTGTGTGTGTGTGT